TCTGACCCTGAACTGAATTTTGGAGGGAAAAAGTCTTAGGATAAATATTCTGAATGTCAAACAGTCCCAGGCACTGCAAACAAAGTTAGCAAGACCTTTTCTTTCCTTTAGACTTCTGTGTCTTAGTGACATAATTGGTCCTTTATACACAGCCATCTACTCTGTCACACATTGGAAGCTTGTAGCTAATATCCAATTTCAAATCTACTGTTCCATATACGGCAGCACTTTGTATCAGTTCAGTTACAGAGCACTGTGCTAGCACAATAAGGGTTTCATAAATGTTTTTTCTTGGTGTCACTGAGCAGCCTACACTTCTCTAACCCCCCTGCTCCCAGCATAGTATGTTCATACAGCTCATATTTTCAGCTTGCCTATGACTACGTAACTGGAGGCTACCCCACACTGCTGAGTTTAGGATATACTCGTTCTTTGGCACCTCCCGACTCCGATTTCATGGTGGCTGACAGATAACCACTGGCGACACTGGGATCTCAGTGGCAGGTTCTTCCCAGGCCTTGAAATGTAACTTGGCCAGCCTGGATGCATCCAAGGCTGTTTCTTTCCATTGCCCTCTTTGACCTCTATTTCAGAATTAATTGATGACTGTCCTCCTTTTTTGGTTTGGAAGAACAGCAGTCCCTGGTTAAGGAAAAGCAGATGAGGCAGGTGATCAGAAACATGAATTCCAGAATCAGGTTGGAACTTGAGCTCCAATCTGCCATCCAGATAACTCGGAATGCTTGGTTCACTGTGTGCTGCACAGAGAATGCTTATGACATGTCAGCTATGATTTCTAGAACTTCTCAGGTGTCATATGGTGCTTCATAAATGTCCAGGTCACATTTGCAACATGGCTTTCTTTTTCCTCTACTACAGACAAGGCTAGGGCTCAGAGGGCAGAATCAGGACTCAGAGCAGGTCTGCTATTATTTTTCCATTATATTCACTTTATCATTTTCTTTGAAACGCTGATGTGGTTTTTACCTTAAAATTTTATTTATTTATTTATTCTGAATGTTGCTTAACGTATGGAATATGAAATTACTGCTGCATGTTCTTTTTTTTTTGTTTTTTCTTTTTTTGAGGTAGGGTAGACAGAGTCGCCCTGTAGCCCTAGCTGTCCTGGAACTTGCTATGTAGACCAGGCTGACCTCAAACTCACAAAGATCCACCTGCCTCTGCCTCCCAAGTGCTGGGACTAATGGTGTGTGCCACCATACCCAGCTCTATTTCTTTATTTTTATTTTCCGTGTATAGTGTTTTTCCTGCATGTATGCACATGCACCTGTGTCATGATATGCCCCCAGAGGCCAGAGAGGGCACTGGATTCCCTGTAACTGGAGTTATAGACGATAGAGAGCCACCAAATGGATGCTAGGAACCAAACCCTGGTCCTCTGGAAGAGCAGCCAGTGCTCTTAACTGATGAGCCATCTCTCCAGTCCCTGCTTTTTGCCTTTTGACAATAGCATGAAGTATCTCTCTTAAGAACAACTTTCATGATTTCTTGTTCTTGTTTAAGACAAAGTTTAAAAAATGATTCAAAAATTAATTCTGAAGTTTATATGGAGATGCAAAAGACACCAGCCACCACAATACTGAAGGAGAAAAAAGTTGGAGAGATGCTCTTGAACTTCAAGACTTACCATCGAGCTATAATAACTTGAGACAGTGTAGTAAGACCAAAAGAACAAATATGCAGACCAGTGGGACACAAGAGAAAACCTAGAAACTGACTCAGGCAAAAACAGTCAACAGATCTTTGCCAAAAGAGCAAAGGCAACATAATAGAGAAAAGGCAGTCTTTCCAACAGGTGGTGCTGGAATATGTGGACATCTACATGCATAAAAAAGAATCTAGATACAGATCGCCATTAAAATGAACTAAAATGAACTAAACATGGTCATACTCTCAGGTCCCTAATGTGAATCATAAGACATAAAACTCCTGGAAGATATTAAGAGGAAAAAATCTATGTGAACCTGGTTAGGTGATGACTTAAAATATGACTCAAAAAGCATAATTCATTAAAGAAAGAATTGATAAGCAGGACTTCACTAAATTAAAATTTCTCTGCTTTATGAAAGATAGGACCAAGAGAATGAAGAGACAAGGCACAGACTGGGAGAAAATACTTGTTAAAACCACATCTGATATAGGACTCAAAGTATACAAATAACTCAACAGTAAGAAAAAAAAATCAGATTTAAAGAAGCCATAGACTTTAACAGCTCACCAAAGGAGAAACACAGATGGCAAATACATATCTGAAAAGATGCTGTATGTCCTGTGACTCCAGGGAGATGCAGACTGAAACAACAGGAGACTACCACAGACCATCAGACTGGCCAGAAGACAAAACAACACCTAATGCTGACAAAGACATGGAATGTGGGAGTGCCCATGAATTGCTGGTGGCAATAAAAAAACAGTACAACCACTTTGGGACCTACGACCTGGCAATCATGTTCTTTGGTATTTACTAAAGGAACAGAAAGCATGGTATATCCATACAACAAAATACTAAGTTGGTCATAAAAAGGAACAATGTATTGATACATATTACAACCCAGTTGTTATGTGAAATAAGCCAATCACAAACCCCACACATCTTATATATGGAATGTCCAGAACAGGCAAACATATGGGGACAGAAAGGGGATTAGTGGTTTCTGAGGGCTAGGGATTGTGTGTTTGCATACATACATGCTGCATACGTGTGTGCATGCATGTATGTGTGTTTACAGGGAGATGGGGAGTGACAGCTTAAGAGTATAGTTTTTTCTGAGGGGAGAAAATGTTCTATAATTGATTGTAGCAATGGCTGCACCATTGTAAATATATTAAAAAAAACACTGAATTGGATAATTTAAGTAGGGGTATGAATAAACTGTTATAAGTGATTATGTGCAGCCTTATCCTTCTGGGCACTATTGCTGTAGATTCTTGCTGTTTTAGTCCGTCTTTGCCTCTTCTCTGTGCATATTTTACATAGAGAAACCACTGTTCAGTCTCTAATGTTTCCCTTTTCACCAGTATGAGCAATGGTGTACTGTCAGACCTCACCACTATAAAAAGGGTAAAAACATTAGCACACTAAGATAGACAGTTGACAGCATGTACCCAGAAACTAGACCACTAAACCAACTCCACCACTCATTGTGACTCTGGATACATTACTTACCCTTTTTAAATTTTCATATCTATAAAAAGAAAATGGGCATAGCCTGCCGTGGTGGTTCATGCTTTAATCCTAGTACTTGGGAGGCAGAGGCAGAAGCATCTTGGAGTTCGAGGTCAGCCTGGTCTACATAGCAAATTCCAGGTCAGCTGGAGCTACAGGGAGACCCTGTTCTCAAAATGACCAAAAATAAATAAATAAAATAAGATGGGCTGCTTCATCTGAGGGTCTTAGAACAGTATCTAACTTGTGAATCCTCAGTGAAGAGCACTACTCTTTTTACTGGCACCAGTAATGGCTGCACAGGCAGAATCATTTTTTGAACAGTGGCAACATTAGCACAGCAGTCTGTTCTCATAAAACCTGCTTCCCATCTTCATGGTTCCTCTCACTACTCAGCCCTTAACCGGGGATCTCACAGATCTGATCTCCCCTGTCTCAACTACTTCTGGTGTTCTGAGAGCTGCCAGCATGCAAGGTACAGCGTTCCACCAGCTGATGTTTCTTCTGCTGTGCATCTTCAGTCTACCTTTCTAACTGGCTGGGCAATTTGATCTAGACGTCCTATAGGTGCTTTGTAATAAAAAAAATTCAACCTCTTCCTCCAATTCTGGTTCTTTCCTCTGTTACTCATGACACAAATCTGGGAATAACTGACACTTCCGCATTCCCTCACAGTTCACCAATACCCAACTTCTGCCAATTTTCCCTTAGAACTTTGACACGTTTTCTCCACCCTCACTACATACCAGACTCATTTCCAGGCTGACAAGCCTGGAAAAGGTTCCACGTTCAGGCTAATCTTCAGACCATTTAAACCAGCATCCAGTAGTTTTGTAAAGGTTCTGAGTCTCTGAGCCATTGGTCCATCTGTCTCTCAAACATCCACTTTCATGGCTGCCTTCGTAGTTCCACTCTAGCAATGCACAACTGTTTATAAGCCCCTACCTAGGTCCAACCATGCTCCCCACCACCCACCTCCAATCTGGCTTACTCCCTACTGATTTTATGGGTCTTGCAGTCTTCTCTATCTCACCAATCTATGGATGAAGTAGGTATTCCTTCTCTGCTTTCCTTGATGGAAAAGTCTACCACTGTTCCCAACAGTTTAATTATCTGCTTATGACCTTATCCCATCACAGAGCCATGTGGTGTCTGAGGCTAGGGTGCTCTCACTCGCATTTTGGTATTACCTCCACCCAGGGTTCTGCTTGACCTCATGAAAATAAATCCTCAGTACATGTTAGCTAGATAACACTCCAGGGGAAAGGATATGGGGTTGTTTATGGTGTTGTATTTAATCCATATTTTTCTTTTCACCAACTTATAAACACGCCAACTTGATTAAATGTAATACTTTGATTTTGAAGGCCTCACGCGTCACTACAGGTTCTTCTACTGGACTCTCATTTTGTACTAATTTGTTGCAATAAGCATTAACTCGTGAGTTTCCTCTAGTATTTTAAGGAAAATAATTGTAGGAAAACCTGTAAATAATATGCCTATTATCCTAGATGATACTTCCTTTACTTCTATAAGCAACAGTATAGTAAAATATGACACTACTTTGCTCATGAGACAAGTATGATCATTTCAGATCTCCTAAATCTTGACCACTGGGATGTGTCCAGAGGGTACATTAAGAAAAAAGGGAAATTCCAAAGACATTTAACCACACTTATATCTGAACAATTAAAACTTCAAAAGAAATACACAATACAAGTAATATAGTTTGTGTCCTTTTAATAAACACACTTGCATAGTTATATTACACTTTGTAAAAATAAAAACAGATTATTTCATGCCAAGCGTGCCCAGCATTTGCACGATCTCAATACCTTTAACACTATAGTTTTCAAGACACACAAAAAAATCAAAATTTAAGGCAAATACATCACTTTGCAACAACTGAATAACTTATGACGGCACAGTAGCATCACAGCAGCATCCAATAATGCCACTTAGGCGAAGCTCTCAGTATTCCCATTAGAGATTTTATTTACAAGAATTCAGAACCCGGTAAAACTCATTCTAAGAAAACTTGGCAAATAAAATTTTGGACTGGAGTTGGCATTTCTTTCTCTGCATTTCCCTTCCCCAGTTTCTTTCTTTTGAACTACCAGTATTTTTGAATACTTTTTGTATTTAAAAAAGTAAAATAGCAGTTATGGTTCTAAATACTTGTATTATTTCAAAATGACTCAAAGTTTCAGAGAAACTATATAATTGATAAGGTTGACTTTTAGTTTTCAAATTTTCTAAAATTAGTTTGGGCTTCAAACAGATTTTTTTTCATTGTTGGAAATTCCATCAAGTTCAACTGCATGCATTAGAAATACCTACCACATACTGCAATCTTAAACAGGTATTTTTAATTCATTATTTCCTACAAGGTTCAAATTTATTTAAATTTTAAAATTACATGTTTCTAATAAGCTCTTTCTAAGCATAGAAAGTTGCCTTATAGTGAATTAAAAGGGAACAAATATATGGCTGAATGAGGTATTGCAATGATTGCATGCACATAGATTTATATGTGAGGTTCCTTACCAGCTTTCTATCAAATATACGATGACATACTCCACAGAGTAGTATTTCAGTTAACATAGTAACTTTATTTTCTAGACTGACATTTAGCTTGAATATTGGGCCAGTGTGTGACTTAATCCATAGGTATCTGATGAACACATTGTTTTCAGATTGATTATCCATACTAATCTCAACTTGAATGACATTTCTAATAATATACTTTTATCAGTGTAAAAGTGATTTGATCTATAAAAATACTTTAAAAATAATTTATTAGTATAGTAGCTAAGTCCCAAATAAAAGTTACAAAGAAAAAAAATGCTATATGAAATAATGTGGCTAATTAACAGTGCTCTGATTTCTAACCTCAGTATACAAAGTAGCAGTCCTCACACTGAACTCAACTCAAGGGTGTAAAAGCAGAATGCTGAGGAGATAAAAAGCAAGATAAGGTAATCTATATACTATGGAAGTCAATTTTGAAACAGGCATCAGTCTTTGCACTGTCTCTCTTAGCGACTGCAGGCAATTCTGTTATTCCATCTGTAAAATAGTATTATTGCTTTCCTATAAATGTCTTATAAAATATCATGATGATGCCAAATGCTAAAAATGGAGGTGGCCTAAGAACTCTAATAGAAATCCCCACCCTAGGGAGCACACTACATATCTCCCAACACCCCAAGAGTGTGAAATGTTTTCAATATAGACATTTGAACTTTGTAAAGTTGTAACTAAACTGTTGGTTCTTTCTCAAGTCATGATTTAGGCAACATATGAGTGTAATAATTTATTCATAATATATAGGCACATTAACATAAATATTGCACAAAGTATGCCTTTAAAGTAAAATGAGAGGTAAAAAGCATATTCCACTTTTCTTAAAGAACTCTGTGAGGAAGTAAGACTCTGTGATTGTATGTACACTTATCCTGATAATACTCAGACATTTCACAAACAACAGATTGCACTGCAGCTTGTAAACATTTTAAATTGCATAAACTTCTTATTGATTTTCAAATACAGTTTAATACTATTAAAACTCCTTTCAGCTAAGTGCTCGCACATATATTAGTTTATAGTAATATCTGTCATGTTTAAAGTGCTTTCCATCCAAGGAAAAAAGTACAATCCTATGGCAAAGTAGCCAATGTGGGTGAAGAATAATATTAGCCAGGAAAGTGTGGATGTAACATCAATCTTCCAGCCTCAAAGAAGCTTTGTGGACATGGAGGAATACCAGGTCTCCTGCACCCTCCCTACTATGAGTCCTTGGCTAGAGCCTGCATGCCTGTTTATGGTCTGCTATAAACTCTCCTAGGAGTCCTTATGGTTTTTACTAAATATATTATGAATGCCAACAGTTTCATTTTATATATGAGGGAATACAATCATCTGACTATGAATAGCATGAATTCTGACTCTAAATATATTATAGATGTAAGTGCTCTAAGCTAGGGAAGGTTTCCTATCCCTCAGTTAATGATGGGAGCTTTCCATTCCTGAAAATGGTCCATGTTTAGGTAATCAATAAAGCAGTAAGAACTAACTGCTGGAACACAGGATCTGTAGCCTATAGCACATAATATCCTAAAGGAACTTCCAAAGTCATGCTCATTTTTGGGCAGTTGAGACAGACTAAACATATCCCACTCTGCACACACTCGGAGTACATCACTTTCCTCTGCTGTGAGGTAAGGAAAGTTCCCCCAAATGTTATTGCTCCCATTCAGATTACACAGAAAAAATATAGAAAAGGCTACTTCCGGTTCCCAGTCTTAAACCTAACAATTGGTACTCATAGTGGCACATTAGAAAGTGATAAAATAGCATATTTGAGGGCAAATCACAGACTGAGTCAATTATGAGCTCTTGTGATTAGGATTAGATCAAATATAACAGCAGAACATAAGCAAACATCATCTGAATTCTGTAATGAATATACATTTTGCAATAACATTAGAAAAGCATGGCAGCCCATTCTAAACTAGAGAGAACAGTTTGTGCAAATAGTGGGTCTTTGTGTGTTTGTACTCCCACCATGTAAGGGCAAACTGAATATGCATGCTAATGACCTACAATTGTCAAATAAAAAAAGAAGAAAAATGCTAAAGGATGCCAGAGTGAACAGCAGGGAAAGCCACACAAAGACCCACTATCCTTGAACTTGTTACAAGTAAATTTTAACTGTAAATTAGAAACACAAAGAAATAATCACAAGTGGCTCTAACATTCAAACGAAGTAAACGAATTGTGTAGGAGATATTTGATCAGGGCTGCCTGCCCTGCCTCCACGCTAGAGTCAAACTTGGATAGTGGGTCTCTGGGGTGCTTTCACAACTGGAAGACAACATTGGGTCCTAAAAAAAGAAAAATGAGGAATAAAATGAACATAATGCAAATTAGGTGGGTGAGAAAAATCTGACTAATAATAACATGCAACATTAACTAAATAAATTTGAACCAATAAAATTCTCAACTTTCAAAAATGCCCAATTATATAACAAAATGAATATAGTATTTATAAGGGCTACAGAAATACAAATGGTAACCTACAATTTAATCAGCTTTCAATGCCTCAAAGACTATGTATAGGTGATTTGCTTCCAAATATCTGGGTAGGTATTATAAAGTTCTCAAGTGAATGTGATTACAAGCATTATATCTTCTGAAACATATCCTATGGAAATTGTAGGTTTATATAAACTTAAGTTGATTTCATAGTTACCAATACAATTTAATCTTATCAACTTGAAAAACAATTGTGACTCTTCATTTCTAAGAAACAGCTGTTTTGGGGCAAAAGAAACTGGCAGTCTGTAGTCTCCTGGGTGACTTAAACAGTTATTTTATGGGAACAATGAACTTTTCAGAGTAATCTATTTGGAAACTGTCCTGAGAATTAATGAATTGAGAGCTCTTTTATTCCAGCCAGGATGGATAACAAACCTTTGGTCATTCATTTAGGAAAATAAGAAAGTATTTGGTTTTTA